TATACGTAGAAAAAAAGCAAAAAAGAGAATCCAACAACAGTGATTATATGACCACAAAGCGACTCCGCAATTGTGACTCTATGGCGCAATTGGCAGCGCATCGGATTCCAGACCCGAAGGTTGTCGGTTCGAGTCCCTCTGGGGTCACCTCTTTTGTCCCTTTGCGAAAGGTTGCTTGTTCCTTTTTGTCTTGCGTAGTAACTGGGCCTGCAGGCGACGTGCAAAAACGTTTTCTTGGACCTCCAGTGAGTCTGCTCTATCCAATATTCTTCCTTTGTCCTCACCATTGTCATTCTTTTATGTAGAAGTACTTTTTATCAACATAAAGCATTTGTTGAGGAGGGTGGAAAGGGTACAATCCAGCATTCACTGTCAATTCCCATACTCTGCTCTACCTAAGCAAGTGTAAGGTCAGAGGTTCAATTCTATGCAGACCTTTTTGCTTTTTCCCTTATCTACACTGGGAATGCCATTTTTAATTCTATGATCACACATTTGTGGGCTTAAGAGGTGGTAGGATCAATGGTTTTACTAAGCCTGCAACAACTTTTGCATACTCTGTTATGTGCACAAACATTGCCAAACAAGGATGCAGTGCATTGACACTGACCCCGGTAGAAGATGTTGCAGAGCCACACGGTCATTCTATGTCATTGTTAGTAGGCGGCAAGAATGCCTAGAAGTATGGCAGTGCATTGACACTGACCCCGGTAGAAGATGTTGCAGAGCCACACGGTCATTCTATGAGTCATTGAAGTACGGAAACCATACATGCCTTTCAAAATGTTGGTACAGATGTAGCCATTGTAGCTTAAGTGTCAAGGTTTTAGAAAAAGTGGAAGGCGTCAGGGAAAATTTGCATGTATTCCTTGTTGCCATGGGCATTTTGAGATAAAAATCTTTGTCAATGGTAGCAAAACGTTGCCAGGTGTTGCAGAAACAGCATTGAGGAGGATTTTGACAGCTGTCAAGTCAGCTGCCTCAGTAGCAGTGGCACCAGGATTGTTGATGCAGTTGCCACCAATGGTTATGCGGACACATTGAGGGTTCTTCTTATTGGGCACCAGGCAGAGACGATGCACACGTATGTAGCAATCCTTCCATTGGGAACATCATGAGTGGATGAAGCGGAGCCATGCTTGGTGCCTTTCATGTCTTTGTAGCCTTGGTTGAGATGGGCAAGCTCATCAATCATGACGCCTCCCACACATTGCCTTCACTGCATTTGAGTACGTTTACGCATCTTTGTTGGGTGTCTATGCGACATAGGTGGACCAGGCGGGATTCGGTTTGGTCCCCACAAACCAGCCTCGCCACAGGCGGACGATGGCGAGGCAGGCCTCGCCACTGGCAAGGGGATGGCGAAGCATTTAACTGACCTACTCTCTAACTATTTGTTCTATCACCAGTAATTCATGGCTACTAACGCCAAAGCACCTTAATTACCCACAAACTGGCAAGTTCACTGACTATCATACCCAGGAGGTTCGAGCCAGCCTGCACCTTGGCGATGCACAAGCATTACAATGTAGCAGTAACAATAAGCCATCACATCTACCAAACGAAGCAAACCTTCTTTGATTTCTAGTTACTTGCAAGTAGTAACAACTGAGCCCTTCAGTTGACCTTTGACTGAATTACCATAACAACAATCTTGGCAACACAGCTAGTATTGGGATTGATGACACTGTCAAGGTAAGCAAAGCCAAGGTGGTTACAAGTTGTTTTGAGGGAGGTTCATTTGGCAACACCACGGCCAAACTTATGGAGAACTACAAGTGCTTGGAAGATGATAATTGGGTGCTGCAATGGAGCAGTAGGAAAGATAGACAGATGGCTGGGATGGTTGCGATGGGGAAGGGGGACAGTGGGAAAGGATGGAGAAAATAAACGTATTGGAGAGCAAGTTGTTTGTTGCGGCAAGAATGTTGCAGGGAAAGGGATAATAAGTTATCATGGGTGGAGGGATTAGCATGGAGAGGTGTGGGTTGGGGATGGGCAGCTAATCCTTGCAATGGTGGTGGAGCAGTCGGTGATATCATCAAAAGTGATGGCAGGTGAGGTAGGCTTGCTTAAGGTTGGTGCCATCAGGTGGTGCGCCAGGCGTGTTGGTTGGCAAAGGTGCAGTTGTTGGTGGTCAATCAAGCGGAGACGTTGGTGTCAGATTGGTGACCCGAGTGGGTGCGCTTGATGAAAGGGGGGTTGTCAAGAGGCCGGTGTTGGATTGGTGACACAAGTAGGTGCACTTGGCAAAGAGGGGAGAGCCGTATCTGCAACCACCCTCAGTTGTGGCGCAAACCCAAGCAGCAGGGAGCCAGGCAAGTTGTTTATCCTCAGAGGTGATGTGGGGTTGGCAGCAGGCAGCTGGTAGAACGTGATGAGTATGGCCAGAGTGTGTACAGAACCATCCATGGTTGGCACAAGTACAGACTGCGGGTCTGTGGAGGCAATGGCAGTCTTGAGGTTGTCCAATGCAGCATGTATGCATGAGTTGGGCATAGATAGCAGCACGGGGTGGTCAGTGGGGGGAATCAGGCAACTTGGTGGCACATCCGTCTTGCGTTTGTCTTCCAAATATACATGCAATGGCAGCAATAGAAATCAAGTGCTGGCCAAGATACCAGCTGTCAAACACTTGGGGTTCTAAAAAGCTGTGGTGCTCGGCAGGGGACGAGCAAGGATGCATATCCCAATGGGAGTAAGGGGCGTGCAATCGAGGTCAAACAGACCATGGATGGGCATGTAGGCAGAGAGTTGGATGGGCGTGTCAGCAGAGAGTTTGGGGTTGATGCAAGATCTGTGGCACATATTTAAAGCAATTGCAGTCTGGGGCAGGAGCTTGTCCCAGAAATGAAGGGGAAATCCTTTGTTGACACCACAGTGGATGCCAACAAAATGGTTTTCAAAGGTGTTATTGGCATGTTCCGCCAAGTTGTGGTGGTGCAGATCATGGCTGGCCCACTAGAAATCTATCTTTTGGTTGTGCATGTAATCTTTAAGTAGCTGAGAGCATTTGTTATCAAGGCGTTGGAGCTTGAGTTGCAGACTGATTCCAAATGAGGCATTTGAGTAGGGACTTGTAGGCTATGAGAAGGCAGGTGGCGCTGCAATCCTTGAAGAATTCAAGCCAGATAGAATTACTGCAATCATAAAGACCCATGATGTATTGATGCCCATTAATAGAGGGATCAAACACCTCACCAGCCTGATTGGTATAGATTCGCCCAGTAGGTTGGAAGAACAAGGTGTAGCAATGGTGCCACATTTCAACGCTTCCCTCTTGTGGAGAAACTTGTTGTTGTCATCATCTTCATCTGTTGCTGGTGTTGGAGTTTTTGTGGATAATGGCCTTGATGAAGAGCCTTCATGTGATCTTTATGCCTGGCAATGGAGGGGGGTTGCTGCTTGCGGAGGTTGCTGGCCGTGAGGCCAGGAAAGTGGGGCAACATACCCTTGGATATGGCAGCCTCAAGGGTATGGAGACTGGGCAAGCCAAGAGTGGCATGGTGGAATTTGATGAGCTCAAGTAAAAAGGCATCTTCAATGGTGGTGAAGGTGCTTTGAGGTGCAGGTAGATCCATTTGCCAGTGCCAGTGAGAGGACATTGAGTACTGCAAAAGATGAGCTTGTTTTGGTATTGCACAAGGACACGCTTCTTGTCAAGGGAGATGAAACATCCTGCATCTCAAAGTGTGGCAAGGGAGAGGAGGGAGTGATGGATAAAGCAGGAACAATGTGAGTTTTAGTGGCCAACTTGGGGAGACCGGGGATGCTGAGTGTTGCCTCATGGGTGTTTGAATTGCAAGCAAGTGTGTTGAAGGAGTCTTGTTAAAAATAGGAGTGGTGACATGATGAAGTGGGCAGATGTGCCACTGTCAGCTATGAGGGTAAAAGTAGGAACGGTGGGGGAACCAGTGATAGAGGATAACAAAAAACAACTACTATACGCAGGTGACAAGTTGTTATAGTTGTTAATAATCACTGGGATCCCTCCATCTCAGGTGCATGGGTTGGCCAGGTTGCGGAATCATTTTGGTGGTGGTGCCACCCATGGTATTGTCAGCAGTCACTGTGGTGCCATGACTGGGACCAGGGTTCTGGCGAGTAGCACTGGTATGTCAGTATTTGAGGCCAAAACCGTGTGTGTGGCAGTAATGATGCTGTAGCAGGCATGATAGCTGGAGCTAGGGTGGGTGTGATGGGTGTCTCAGTGGTGACCTATTAGTTATGGGCATCTTTTTATACTGACTGCTGGCTAGAAGCTTGGTGATGTAGGTCTTAGTGCCCCAGACGTTTGTTTCATTTCTGTCAAAGCCAAAGTTTGCTGAGGAGGTATTCAGGAAACCAGATACCTGTAAGACTAAAGTTGTACATTGCAAAAGAGTTGATAGAATGCAGCTGGATGTACCACAATTGCCATGCCATGATAACATTATTTATTTATGTGCAAATATACTCATAACAATTGTCGGTGATGCACATCTATACATCAAGATTGGTGCAGAACATCTTGATTCATTCTACATGTAGGACATCCACATGCTACTTGTAGAAGTGTGATTTACTGGATCATAGATTGTTGAAAGCCTTGCACATCATCACTGTGGGGGTTTCAAAAAGTCACAACATTTGAGTTCTGCATAAGAGTAAACACAATTGCGGGGCTGGGAGGTGGTAGGATCAATGGTTTTGCAAAGCCTACAACACCTTTTGTATGCTCCACGCGGACAAACACTGCCAATCAGTGGAAAGTAAAGAAAATACTGTTGAGATAGCTAACACGGTCGGTCATTGTGAGGGGTCATTGCATAAGCGCATAGCTTGACATCATCTGTGTATTTCTGGCGACACACCAATTGAGGTTGTAAAGCATGTCCGGACACATCCTACCACAGAAAATATTCTTGTTTAACATAACAATGGATATATCTAGGGCATGACTTTAAAAAGGTAACGGTCGTGACGCGAACAGATCACTGTGTCTGCGCCTCCGCAATTGTGACTCTATGGCGCAATTGGCAGCGCATCGGATTCCAGAGACATGTAACACATACGGATGTACCCGAAGGTTGGGGGTTCGAGTCCCTCTGGGGTCACCTCTTTTGTCCCTTTGCGAAAGGTTGCTTGTTCCTTTTTGTCTTGCGTAGTAAGTGGGCCTGCAGGCGACGTGCAAAAACGTTTTCTTGGACCTCCAGTGAGTCTGCTCTATCCAATATTCTTCCTTTGTCCTCACCATTGTCATTCTTTTATGTAGAAGTACTTTTTATCAACATAAAGCATTTGTTGAGGAGGGTGGAAAGGGTACAATCCAGCATTCACTGTCAATTCCCATACTCTGCTCTACCTAAGCAAGTGTAAGGTCAGAGGTTCAATTCTATGCAGACCTTTTTGCTTTTTCCCTTATCTACACTGGGAATGCCATTTTTAATTCTATGATCACACATTTGTGGGCTTAAGAGGTGGTAGGATCAATGGTTTTACTAAGCCTGCAACAACTTTTGCATACTCTGTTATGTGCACAAACATTGCCAAACAAGGATGCAGTGCATTGACACTGACCCCGGTAGAAGATGCAGAGCCACACGGTCATTCTATGTCATTGTTAGTAGGTGGCAAGAATGCCTAGAAGTATGGCAGTGCATTGACACTGACCCCGGTAGAAGATGTTGCAGAGCCACACGGTCATTCTATGTCATTGTTAGTAGGCGGCAAGAATGCCTAGATGTATGCCATGGGGTGGGGAGGTGGTAGGATTAATAATTTACTAAGCCTGCAATGACTTTTGTGCGCTCCACCCACACATTGCCAAACAGTAGGTGCAGTACTTACACCGACATTGGCCCTCAGGTAGATTAAGTGGCTGAGCCACATGGTCATTTTATAAGGCTTGGAGTAGACTGCAAGAGCGGTAAAAAGTATGGTATTTCACACAGGAATGGTGTATAATATATTTCAGGCTTTTACCTGGCATACTGGTAGCTGTCATAGGTGATGCATAGTAACCTTGTTGACTGTGGATAGCTTGTCATCCTCTTGCTCCAAGTCTGTCTCTCAGCAATCAACCAAGCAGCTTGCCAACAAGTATATCATCAAGTGCCTCGATTACCGAGCCCAACGAGTCATCTATTGCAAGACTCAGTCTCCTTTCCAGTGGAGCACCAAGCGTGATACCTTCTGTGGCTCCCAGTCTGTCTCCCAGCACTCAAGTAAGCAGCTTGCCAACAAGTGTGCATTAAGTGGCCTAAGCACCAAACAGTAAGTCATCTACTGCAAGATTCAGTCTTCTTCTCAGTGCTGCTACCAAGCATGTCATCCTCTGTGGCTCCCAGTCTGTCTCCCAGCACTCAAGCAGCAGCTTGCCTACAAGGGCGCCAACAAGTGGCCCAAGCATCAAAACCAGTGAGTTCTCCATTGCAAGACTCTATCTCCTTCCCAGTGCAGCACCAAGCTTGTTATTCTCCATAATTCCCAGCTTGTTTCCAAGCACTTACTATTGTGGTTGGTTAAAGCAAGCCATCGTTTTAAAATAATATTAATCAATGAAGTACCAAGCTTGCCACTCATACTATTGCCAATAGCCCTCACCCATTGTGTTCCCATCTTTTTCTTAGTGCCAATCAAAAGGAATATTAAACACTTGTGCAGATAGTGTAGACAAGCAGCCAAGTGTGCAGAATGCATGCACATCAAGATTTCCAGCACGGCACTGCTACAGATGCACTCACTCAACCATCTGAGCTTGACACTGCCGCAACTGGAGCCCTCTCTTTGTTGACCCTGGCCTGCATACCAGAGTAGTTTTTACTTATTGCAGATGTTGTGATGCACATGCCACGGAACATTCAAATGACCAAGGTAAACTTAGCAATGCCATAAGCATGTTTTAAGCATAATCACAAATGAGGAAACAAGCAGGCATGTACACATACAATACAAACAGGAATAGGCAGCTCGATGGACATGCCATTGCGCAAGTTTGCATGTGCATTATGTGCAGGCATGGTAACTTTCAATCAACAATCTAAGCTTGACACTGCTGCAAGGGAGCTGCTGTGGTTGTGCCAGGCCTTCCAGTAGGACATCTAAGAAAGGGACTATTGCCACAGATGCACTTTTCCTTTTGTTCAACTGAAAGTAAGTGCTAACATCCCAGGTGTACATACTGCTTGTTCCGCAGGAAGTGTAGCGCAGCCAGGACAGACTCCAGTCACATGGCTCAATGACCTCGTACAATGATCCTTGTAAGCTTTTTAAAACCATTTATCCTACCAGCTCCCCGCCCCGCGGATGTGGTATAATGGTCCGAGCAATACTATAGCCCAAAACAAGACGTTTCCTTGTTTATAGATTTTGCTTATAGTGCTAGCTGTTTATGTTATTTAACCTTCTTCCGGTCATCTTCGCGCTCGTTCAGGTCATTCTTTGCGTGAATGCCTTCCACTCCCATCAGCTTTCGCTTCGCTTTCTTGACAATCTTGATGAACCAAAACAGGTTCAACGAATGGAAAAAGATGCCGACTACCATGGCGACTGGATACACGAGCGGCGACATGCATGCTTGGTAGGTTGGATTGGAGCGCTCTTGATACATTGTCACCATGAGCTGAAACCACATGTAAGGCACCAAGACTATTCGAAAGATGAAAAATGTCAAAGCAAAGGATGCTTGAATCATGCCCGCCATGAATGGACTTAAAAAGTCGGCTCGCACAATCGTCAGCAAGGGCGTCGACACCTCCATGAGCAAAAACGGCTCAATCAGATGTGGTGTTTGCTGGGAACAAAAGAACACCATCACCGCCAACGTCGCAATCCCATGTAGCATAAAGTCGGTACTAATGTAGTAGCCGTCATACAGATCAAGTATGCTGTAGCCTGCCGTGACGGCCGGCAGAATTCGATGCAGAACCGTCAATGGCCCACTGCACTGACAGCTCCGCAGTGGCTCGGGCGTTCCAGTAAGTTCTTTGGCATGAAAGTCCATGTACATGCACGCCAGAGCTCCCGTGGCGCTGACAATGCCATGCAATAAAGCGTACCAGTCGATGCCTCGCTTCTTGTGGCAAATATTGCGGACAGCGACGAGGATGAGTAGCGTGCCAAGGGCAACGGCTCGAAGATCCCAGTTCCATGCACCATATTGCTCCAACGTTGCCGCAACGTTCAATATGGATCGCACAGGTAGCGATACATGTTTATGCCGTAGCAGATCCGCTGCCGAAATTGCCATGGTGGAAAATGGCCGACGACGACACGACACGATCGAATGGAATTCTGCGTGACGGAAGATTCGTCTAACGAATGATGACGTTCGCCAGTAACCTCATCTCTAGTGCACCAAATCGATGAAGCTTAGCGCATTGACAGTGCGACAGGTGTTTTCATTCGCGAATGGTTCAACGAAATCGCCGCGAGACGCCGATAACGCTGCGATCTCCGCCACCTCGCGCGGCCATGAAGGAACGGCTATTTTTCACCCTTGTTACGTAACAATTACAAAGGAAACAACGTGAAATGCGTTTCATGATTAGCGAGAGAAGGAATCTCTCTTTGAAAGCGCCGAAAAAGCTTCTCCATGTGTTTCTTTTGATCCTCGCGTTTGCCTGGACCACATCTGCGGATGCAAAAGCTGCAACTAATAGCGAAACGTCTCATGCATTAAACCTCTCCAGCAGCAGCAATTCATCTTCATTGTCATCACTGGCTCCTACTATAAGCAATACATCGACCGTCATCTTGTCAGAGACGGAACTATACGACGGATCATCATGGCAACCAGTCTCATGGACCGACGCTAGCACGGGCGAAACGGCGCCGTCACCTTCCGACTATCCAGATCCATTGTTTGGAAAATGGATATCGGAATGGAAGATTGTCACGGGACCGACCCGAGACGAGTTTGGATGGGAGTACAAGACGAACCGCAGGCGCAAGCGCACCTGGTTGCGCACGTATGAAATTGTGTCTGCTTCCGACGCCAACAAGCGTGCAACGACGCGAGGCGCCTTTGCAATCATGACATCACCTTTCGCGACGGCGGCAACAAGTCGAAGAAACGTTTCGCCAATAGCAAAGCTTGCTCGCTCCATTCGCGACAGCTACAACTTTAAAGGCTTTGGCTTGACGTTCTACAAGTCGCTGGTCTTTCGCCAGTCGTTTGGAATGGCACTGCGCGTACCAATCACTTTCAATTTTAACTTGTGGGAGGAACATCCATCACTACCTGGTGTGGGAGCCAGCATTGCCGTCTATCATCCATGGGTGGTTTGCGTCTTTATCAACATTTCGCTACGCATGGAAGTTATTCAGTGGGCCATGACCACGAGCGTTGCCACCGTTGTCTATGTCACCTTTTGGCTCGTGTGGACGCTGCTGCTGCGTGGACTCATTGTGGCGGGCGGCGCCTTGTTCTTTCCCGTGACGCGCAAGTTTTACCAGCCGGCGTTTCCACTGGCCAAGCCAAACTGGCAGGGACCTGATTTTAGTCGGTCTGTCGAGGAGCGACTCGGCATGTCGTGGAGCTGGAGGTTTTCGAAACTGCGAGGCTTCGAGCATCGTGTCGGCTACTCGCACTACTTTGCGCATTCGCTCGTGGCGTTGCTAAAGGCCAGAAACATTCAAAAAATACCCAGTTGGATGGTGCGACGAGTGGTGGCCGTTGGCACTGGTATCAGTGGACCCATTCATGACCAACCATACATTACTGCGAACGGTCTGTTGAGCTTGAGTGGTCTTTACTTTAGTCGACGAAATCGACAAGTCAAAACGCCGTCAAAGATTGAGGAAAGCGTGGCGGCAGCATTGACAGTCAAGCAACCAATGTTGGACGTTGCGCCAGACGGCGAGAATGTCTCGCTTGATGACGATGCAGCAACAAATGCTGCAATCAAGTCCTTGCCATTGGCAAAGCTTGTGCCACAATCCAAATCAAAGTCAAAAGTGCCAAGCTGATACTTTACTACTGGCAGGGCATTTGCTGTTGACGCGTAAACACAGTACGGGCCAACATTACGGGCCAACATTGGGCCGTGCACATCTCTTCCGACTCACATTTGACGAGGCAAGAGGAATATTAGAATAAACTATAGATATTACT